AACATGCAAGATCCTCCCTTGCCCCCAAAACAAAGCACATAGCCACCCACCACCTCACAGCCTCATAGCTGCCTGTGCTTAGGAGGGGATAAGCCTCCTGAAATACAAGTATTGTAACTCAAGCCCATGTCCTAGACCAGAAGGAGCCAGAAAGTTGATTTGGGGGATAGACTTGCAACAAGACCCTTGAGAATAAGTACCAGAAAGAAGTTCAAAGCAGACCATCACTTCTGCCACAGGAACAACATTGGTGATGCCAGCATCTTAATCACCACAGAGAACTTAAGGAGAATCCAGAAGCCATGAAGGCAACAGGAGGGATATCTAGAACACACAGTCACTCACAGGCTTGGAACTGTTCCTTCCGCCAATCTACAAGAGAACACACATCTCATATCAGGGATTTGCAAAGTCTCTACACATCAGGGTCAGCACCCAGTCTTCTAAAACACAGCAATGTGGGAGGAAGAAGGGAAAAGCTGTGTGAAAACATTCAGCTGCTTTATTTACTTCTTACATACACACACACACACACACACACACACACACCACTCACACATCCTGCTGCAGCCTTCCCATGAAGCCCAAAATCTTAATACCCCAGAATCAAAATGCTGGATATCTATCTGAAAGGTCACTGTTTAGATATAACTACCAAATAATGCTTTCTCAAGACACATACACACAATTACCCTGAAAACTGGGTTACCTTGAGATACAACTGAGGATATCAAAATTTCCAAGGCTTCCTTTTACTTATAAAGAACTAACTGCTGAACTTTTAAGGTTACCTCTAAGCCATGAGTTGAGAATTACATCTAGCTTAGCTGAACATGGAAGATGACTATAAATCATGAGTAATGGGAATCAGAGAAATCTTACCCAGTTAGGTGGCAATGGAGAGGGTTTTAGGATGGGAGAGAAAGAAGGTCAAAGCAGGAAACAAATATATCCAGTGAGAGGTCAACACTAGTGACTTTTCTTCAAATTTTCACAGAGCAATCAAAGCAAAAACATCCTTACAGATATGGGAGAACCCAAAAATATTGAACCTAGTCAGTTGACTCACTCAAGAATTGCCAGAAGAGTTTTAAAACTTCCAGCTATGATAGAACCCAAGTCCTAAACTCCAAAGTGTGTGAATATGTTAAATACAGGACTAGGCAACTTTACAAATGTGATTTAAGATTAAGGTTCTTGAGTAAGGGAGATTGAACCCTTGTAAACCGAGACCTTTCTTGGCTGTGTCAGAGAAGCAGACAGAATCACAGAAACAAGGTGAAAAAAAATGCTGTGTTGCTGGCTTTGAAGATGGAAGAACAGGCACCCAAATGAAGAAATACAGATGGCCTGTAGGAACTGCACAAGACAACAGCCTCCAGAAATGGACACAGCCTTGTCCACACCTTCTTGGACTTCTGACCTACAAACGTGTAAGATAATATATTTCTGTTGGCTTATACCACCATGTTTGTAGTAACTTGGCAGCAAATAGAAAACTAATATGCCCACATAGGTGCCACACTCAATGTGGAACAAAGCACTGGCAGAGAAATGTGCTTCCAGAAAGTGTGAAACTCCCTGTCTCCTGCCCACAGGAAGCTAAGGACCCAGAAAATATCACATTCTTTTCTAGATATTGAAGATACAGATAGGTGCCCAGTGAGCCAGTGAACCAGAGAAGGTCTGAAGTTCAGAGGAAAAAGCCCAATGGATACCAGAAATAAGTGACACAGACTTTGGGCTTTACCCCAGGGTCAGGGAAAGGAGGACCAATCAATGAGATGAGACCTGCCTTTTCTCAAGAGACATCAACCCAAGGGTCTGATGAACCAGTTCAGACTAGCCTCCTGATGGTGAGGACCTGAAATAACTAAGAGAAAACACATGTCCCCTTTTCTGGCACTGTCCAAGGCCACATAAGTCTCCTCCAACTTCCATACTCCCTTTTGGGAAGAGGATAGTAAGTTTATTGACGAAATAAAAGTCTATATGTGTCATACACTCCAAAATGTCTTCAACTGGAAAGCTTTTATCTCCAACAGGGCCAAACTTCAGGAACAAGATTAGAATTATCAAAATAATAAATGAGACAGGACCACCCTTTCCAACCAGCAGACTACCATGGGAGGTCAAGCCCCCAGCCCAGACCCACCCACACTGGCCTGTGCAGGTCCCAGGCACACAGAAGGCCAGTCCACCACTCCCTCTGTGGGGCAGACATCTACCAGAGTCAGAGAAAATGAAAAACAATGATGAAAATAAGCAGAGGGAGGAATTACACTAAAGGAAATTCCAATCAGAGGAGAAAACAAGTCACATTAAATGCCCATAAACAAAAATGGCTGGGAATACAAATCATGTCTCAATAATAACCCTGAATGTTAATGGCCTAAACTCACCAATCAAAAGACATAGACTAGTAGGTTGGCAAAAAAAAAAAAAAAAAAAAAAAGATCCAACAATATGCTGCCTCCAAGAGACTCATCTCATACAAAAAGACATCCACAGACAGAAGGTGAGGGGTTGGGAAAAATCATATCACTCACATGGACTGAGAAAGCAAGCACGGGTTTCCATCCTCATATCAAATAAAGCAGATTTCAAAATAAAGTCAATTAAAAAGGATAAAGAAGGACACTAAATACTGCTCAAGGGAACCATACATCAACAAGACTTAACAATTATAAATATATATTACCCAAACAGTGGAGCATCTACATTCATCAAACAATTCCTCTCTCCACCGTGGGACCAGCACTCTGATTTCATACAAGAGGTTTGTAGCATAGAATTTAACTAGTTAGATCAAAATAAACACATAAGACTCAATTACCTTTTTCTTTGACCAGGTCCAAGATGGCCCTCTCTCTAGCTCTCACCTCGAACCACCCGGTGGGGCAACAAGGTTTACTCAGGACTAGCAGGAGAGAGAGAGAGAGAGAGAGAGCATGCCAGGGAGTAGCCTTTTATTGGGGAACAAGATATTCAGGGGAAAATTCTATCCAATGAAGGTCGAGGGGGGCAGCATTCCAAGGTCAGGGTCAGTGATTGGTCTCAGGGTCAATGGTCAGTCACACCCCCCACACAGACAGGCTTTCGCACCTGGAAAGGGTGGGGATAAGCTCCGACACATTTTGGCCAGAATGCCTCACACCCAATCAGGGAGGGGCCCAATCACGTGAGAGAATGGCTTCCCACATATTCCCCCTTTTTTCTCTTAAAAATCAGGTGGTGGTTCACTCTTTCGAGTTTCTGCATTCTTATTCCGAAGACTCGCCATCCTAATTATAACACAAAAGTGAATTAACAGCAAAGAGAACAATCCAATAATGTACCAGGCCAAGTGTTTAATAATATTTCCAGGGTTAAATCCATTTACTCCTTCAATATTTGGCTAGCCAAAAAAGAAGGATCTGAAAAATCAGCTCTATTATTTTGAATGTCTTGGATATGGTGATGAAGTTCCAAAAGATCCAAGCTATTATTATTATTTTGCAAAATACCTAACAAATGGTTTTTAACCTTCTCCCAATCCCAGAGAGAAGCATTGTACTTGGCAGCTGTAACACACACATATTTATAATTTGCGTGGCATTTAAGCCTTTCTTTAAATTTTAAAACTGAAAGTTCATTACCTATGTCTATAACAGTTGCCTCTAAGGCATTTAATTTAGTYTCAATCCTTTCATCAATATTTACTTGATCATGCAGAGCCTTGGAAGTATTTTGAGCTAAATTATTGAGAAATTTTGCATGCTGAATATTTTGAGACAATGTCAGAGATGCAGAAACAATGGATGCAATGAAAGAAACTAATGCCAAAACACCAACAATTATACTTCCAATAGCATGTTTAGGTCTTGCTAGCTGGGCATGAATTTGCCACAAGACTTGTAAACCAGTATCAGCATACCATGGCTCTGAAATATTAGCAGGTAATAAAACAAAAGAGGGCTGATGAAGTATCAGCACTCCTTTTCCTCCATTATACCTAGTAATACAATTGNGTAATAAAACAAAAGAGGGCTGATGAAGTATCAGCACTCCTTTTCCTCCATTATACCTAGTAATACAATTGGTTAGGTTACATTTGTTACATGTGACAACATATCTGTCATTTATCCACTTAACTTTTACATTTCCAATTATTAAAACATAAGGAGATTGAACATTGGCTCATAAGCCATAGCAAGATCCCTCCTTACAGTTCTTGCCAACAAATTTTGGTAAAGGCTTGTCTGTAAAATGTAAGAATTCTGAGGCAGCAATTAAGCACCCAACATTCTTTTGAATACCACCCTCTCTGTAAGTCAAAATATTACTAACAAATCCTGCAAGTGTCATAGCAGAATTTTTTCATAATTATCTCTTATCAATTTTTGGAGACCAATCTAAAATATACCCACTATCTTTTGACACCTTATGTTGTACAGGAAAAGTATTTACACAATCCATCCATCTAGGAAAGGTGCCAATATCAATTGTAGAACTATTTGGACAGTGGGGTATCCATGGAGGTTTTGCAGAAATGACTGGTTTGTTATGGGAAAGTCCCATCTTAATTACTGATCTAGTATAAGGTTTTAAGTCTCCACAAATAGAATAATTAATCAGTCTAGGTCTACCAATCACTGTCTTTTACTCAAATGATACTTTCAGACAGCCAGCATGTTTATCGTGGGACCAACACAAAGGTAATTGGGCACTGTAGCCAGAATAATTAAATCTAGTCACATGATTGGGAGTAATATGAGTATCTGTAAATCCTCCCATCACAAATGAGTCATTAGTAAACACTGGAATAGATTCTCCACTCCACACAGCTAGGTGTACCAGGGGAGGATCTGAGAAATATGTTGAGCAAGTGTCTGATTCTCCTTTACCTGACAGCCCAGCAGGGCAATTACTGTCGCTACCATCAAGACTGGGGTCCTGTTCTTTCCTAGGAGTTGAATTATTCGGGAAGCCTGTGTTGTTAGCTTTTTCACGTCTTCCCATTAAATCAGCTTTTTGGCTGGGTCAATCTGGTTTCTCTTCGTCTTTTTCTGATATCTCTTCCTTTTGGATGGGGGCTTCTCCGGGTCGATCTTCAGTCGCTTGTATCTGGTTTCTATCTCTTCCATGTCTGATTGCGCATTCAGGCACCCAGATAGGAAGAAAAGCACCTTCTGGAAAAATACAAACATGACCTCTGCCCCACATAATCACTGGGTCTAGGCCTTTCCATTGACCAGTCTGTAAATCTTTCCACAAACTCTGCCTAAAGGGCCTGTTACTGAGGGAGACATTTGCCTCTCAGCCACAGTGTGACCTTCTACGTCACAGTTTAAAAATTTTAAAATAAACTAAGCATGATTGAGGCTATTTTGGGGAGTTATAAACCTATTCCCCCCTTTTAATTTTTGTAATTGAAGCTTAATAGATAAATGAGCTCATTCCACAATGGCTTGACCTTGGGGGTTAAAAGGAATTCCTGTTTTATGATTAATTTGAAACTCTTGGCAAAATTGGTGAAAAGAAGAGCTTACATAAGCTGATGCATTATCTGTTTTAATCTGTATAGGGCACCCTAACACAGAAAAAGCTGCTAGGCAATGAGAAATTACATGTTGAGTATTTTCCTTAGTATGTGCTGTGGCAAAAATAAATCTGGAATAAGTGTCCACTATGACATGCACATAACATTGATTACCAAATTGAGGAATATGAGTTATATCCATTTGCCATATTTGATTTGGTATTAATCCACAGGGATTTACCCCTGATGATGGAGATGGAGTGTGAATAACACACTTAGGACATTGGCTTACAATTTGATGAGCTTGTTCTCTGGTAATATTAAATTTTTTATGTAAGTTAGAAGCATTTTGATGATGCAAGGAATGGGAAGCTTGTGCACAGTCATATGAAGACATCTGTTGCCAAAATCTACTAATTTATCAATTTTGTCATTACCTGAAACTAAAGGTCCTCAAAGATTAGTATGAGCCCTTATGTGTCCTATGAAACATGGGTATCTTCACATTAGCACTGTCTTCTGTAAATTATGAAATAATTTAAATAACTCTTGTGATGAAGTATACCCAATAACTGATGTTGCAATATTTTTGGTTAACTCTGACTGCATATAAGCTATCAAAATAAATATTAATTGGCTCATTTGGAAAGTAATTTAAGGCACAAATCAGAGCTTGAAGCTCTGCTTTTGGGCAGAAGTATATGAAGTTTGCATTACCTCTGTGTGAACACAAGTATAAAAACCTGCTTTACCTGAGCTTGAACCATCAGTGAACACTGATAAAGCTTCATCTATAGGACGTGCATGCACAATCTTTGGAAAAATAAGTGATGTTAATGATGCAAATTGGATAATCTTATCACGAGGGTAATGGCTATCTATCTGCCCAGGAAAATCAGCAAAAGCTATCTGCCATAAGCTAGAAGTTTAAAAAAGCAATTAGTCTGTTGAACAGAAAATGGAATAATTATGATATCAGGTTCAGATCCAATCAATTGTAAAATCCTAGTTCTACCTTTAATTACTAATTGAGCAATAGAGTAATGAAAAGGAATCAATGTTTTTTGAGGGGAGAGGGCTAAATAAATCCACTCAATAAGTCCTAATCTTTGCCATATGGCTCCTGTTGGGGTATGCTCAGTTGGAAATATTAATAAATACACTATTTCCTTAGGATCAACTCTAGTAAGTTGTGCATTTTTAATTGCATTTTCAACCCTTTTTAAGGCTGTTCTAGCCTCTAAGGTCAGCTGACGTGGAGAGGTTGGANTGTCAATCAAAGGAAGGGTAACTGATGTGATTCAGCAATCTGTATACGGGGTAAAAGTGGGAGTTCATAACCCATTTGAATCAAACCGTGTAATATGATGTATTAAGAACTATGTAATATTTTGAAAGACCAATAATAAAAAAAAAATCTGTTCAATTCCCTCTAGGTTAGCTGGTGCTACATGTAAGGGCCAATTCCTAGGACAGAATCTACTAGAAAAGACAGAAATATTTGCACCTGTGTCTAGAATACCCTTGAAATTTTTATGATTAATTTTAAGTTCCAATAAAGGGTGCTCTTGTCACACTAACTGAGACCAGTACACTCTGTCTGGCTGTTTAGAAATTGAATTTACTTTGGGTGTTTATCCAAATCACAGGGCAATAAAATCAATTGGGCAAATGCRTCCTTTGGAGTAAGCCTTAGGGCATAATTGGACCTTACAGTAACATTTAATTGTCCTTTAAAATTTGAATCTATCACTCTAGGTATTACCTCAATGACTCCTTTTAAATTATTATGCCCCAAAATTAAACCTATAGTATTATCAGGAAGCAGCCCAAAAATCCCAGTAGGGATTTGTTTTGGCCCTGATTCAGGATTCAATTCAATTGTCGTTGAGGGTCATAAGGAAACTGTGATTTATGTTCCGGTACAAATGGCGGGCCGTCCTGATCGGCGCCACTGACATCACACTGTGCGACCCCTCCTCCAATTCCCCAGGGAGGGGAATGACCGGAATTTTTTTGTTCTCCAACTAGGAGGAAATGATGGCGAAAAGGTGGGCTGATCTGTGCCATCTTGACACGCCACATGGGGTTGAGTCCTGCAATATCTATTATCAACAGTAGATGAAGCCCTGAACTTAAAGTTACGAGTGCGGCACTCTCGCACAAAATGATTATTTCTCCTGCAGAGATAGAATCTTCCACGGGGTTTTCATACTAATTCCTCTGGTTTTAGGGTTTCTTTTAGGGCTGCAGCTAGCGTTACTGTCTGCAAATGGGTGGAATCAATCTCAGAACACAAGCAGATAAACTCAGAAACTGTTCCCTTTTTACAATGGGGTCTGAGAACATCCTGAGAATATTTATTCGCATTTTCAAATGCCAATCGCTTAACGATAAACTCGCATGCTCCTGGGTCTCCTATAGACCTATTTGCTGTCTGATACAATCGGGCTACAAAATCCAAATATGGCTCACTGGCACCTTGTTTGACTCTGGTAAGAACTAAATTGGACTGGTCCTCGGAAACTATTTGTATCCAGGCACGTTTAGCACAGTCAGTTATCTGATCATACACTGCAAATTCATAATTCAACTGTCTTTCCAAATCAGCAAATTCACCCATTCCTAAAAACATTTGTACCGGGGTCTGTAAATTTTGTCTTCTATTCCTTTCTGCTTGTTCAGTATAAAAATCAGTCCAATAAGATCGCCAAAATAAGAGATCTCCTCCACTCAAACAAGATCTGGCTAACGAAATCCAATCACTCAGTGGAAGTGGTTGTGAGGATATGGTATCAATCAAGTTTTGTACAAAAGGTGAATTCGGACCATATGTCTCACAAGCACACTTCAATTCCTTAATAGTCTTAAATGGAATTACAGCATGAACTCGAACTCTTTTGTCTTGGTCATTTAACTGCTCAAAAACTGGGAAAAGTTGAAAACCGCTAATGTCTTTCCCCACCTCCTGTGCCTTCTTAATACCTCGCTGTAACGGGGTAAGAAAAGTTATTGTTAATTCAAATTACCTGTTAAATTTTGTCCTTTTAGCAGATAATGGCCGAATTCTAATAGCCTGGGCAGGCGGTGTTAAACGCAGTCTGTTAAAATTTCTCCATAAGTCCTGAATTTCAATGTCTGATTACTCTCCCTCAGACTGCGACTTGTGGGAAGAATCTCCGCTGTCACCATTTTGAAATTGGGCTTCTAAGCCATGTGGTGGAGAAGGGCTTTGTGCCTCCCTTGGAATTTATTCCAGATTTTCCTCTCCGGGAGGATCGTCTATCTCTTTCGGAGGAATCTCTATGAATGCAGAGGTTTCCTCTCTTTGACCCTGATCTCTATGACCTTCCTCTCCATAATCTTCTTGCAGGCTACCCTGATCTGGTTCCTGCAAGTTTAAAGTCACATTCCTAACTTTCGGTTTAGCCCCAAGAGCTTTCATTTTTAAATGGCTCAAGGGAAAAGAAATTAACTTAGCCTCAGGTGGATTTTCCATTTGAATAGACATAATAGCTCTCTGAATGCCTTTCAATAGATCTTCAGGGGGCCACAGAACTCTGGCCCATNAAGTTGTGCATTTTTAATTGCATTTTCAACCCTTTTTAAGGCTGTTCTAGCCTCTAAGGTCAGCTGACGTGGAGAGGTTGGAGAAGGATTTCCTTATAATATCTGAAATAAAGGACTTAACTCAGAAGTAGTTAGTTTTAAGRATGGCCTCAGCCAATTAATATCTCCTAATAGCTTTTGAAAATCATTAAGGGTATGTAACTCCTAAACTCTTATCTGAAGATTTTGAGGACGGATTGTATGTCCTTGAATTATCTGACCTAAATATTGAAAGGGAGGCATCTCTTGAATTTTTTGAGGAGCAATGCATAAACCTATTGCTGTAAGTGAAGCCTCTAACTGAGTAAAAATTTCTGAAAGTACCTCTCGATTAGCATGAGCCAATAATATCTCATCCATAAAAAGAATAATATATGCATTAGGAAAGCTATTTCTTATGGGAGCTATCGCCCGATCTACATATTTTTGGCATAAGGTAGGACTATAGTACTCCCTGGGGGAGTACTTTCCAGCAATATCTTCTAATAGGTCCCTTAAAATTAATTGCTGGGACAGTGAAGGCAAATTTTTCACAATCTCCAGGATGTAACCTTATAGAGAAAAACCAATCTTTTAAATCTATTACCATCAAGCTATAGTTTAAAGTGATGGCTGTGGGGGAGGGAAGTCCTGGCTGTAATGACTTCATAGGCTGAATTGCATGATTTATTGCCCTTAAATCCTGTAGCAACCTCCGATTTCCTGACTTTTTCTTAATAACAAAAATAGGTGTGTTCCAAGGACTGAGTATTGGTTCTATATGACCAGCCTGAAGTTGTTCCTCAACTAACCTATGAATTATTTTAAGTTTTTCCCCTGTGATGGGCCACTGAGAAATCCATATAGGCTCCTCTGTGATCCAGGTGATTTTTTCAGCTGTCTTAGGGATCGGGGAAATACTCAGGGCCCCTAGTAAAAATTTTGGCTTGGAGCATTTACTAATCTTTGCCGTGGACACTGGTTTGTAAACAGATACTCTCCCTGAAAGGTCTCCTTATCATCTCAAGGAAAATACCTCTGATTAACTTCCTCAGTTGATCTTATAGAATTTGGAGTTACTAATACCAATCCCATTTTTGCTAAAATATCCCTTCCCCATAGGTTTGCTGGTAAAGACTCTAACACATAAGGTTTAAAAACTCCACTGTTCCCATCAGAATCTTCCCAA